CGTGCGCTCTATGTATCACATGATCATGGGAAGACATGGAAGCAGCCACTGAAAGGAGAAGCAATCAACAGAATCGTTCCTCACCCATATAACAGTGATGGTGCTTTCCTCTTGACGGACGGTGCTGAAGGCTTTTGGACTGTTGACCGTGGCCAGTCATTCAAGCCTTTCGATGCACCAGCGCCTCCGACTGAGGAACGCCTCCCAACTCTTACGTTCCATCCTCAGTACCAAGACTGGTTGATCTGGACAGGGGCCGTTGATTGCGGATCTGGTGATTGTCACTCCAACGCATACATCAGTAAAAACCGCGGGGACAATTGGGAGCTGCTGCAACGCTATGTTCAAAAGTGTGAATTCGAAAGCAGGGAAGGCCGCGAAGATAGCACGAACCTCATATTCTGCGAGCAATTCGAGAATGAGAACAGGAACAACCGACTACAACTGATATCCAGTGAGAACTGGTTTTCAGACTCGAAGGTCCATTTCAGAGATGTCATCAACTATGCCACCATGTCCGAGTTCATTGTTGTGGCTTCTAGAGATACAGAGAAGCCCGACTCTTTGGTGGCGAGCAGCAGCGTCGATGGTAAGACATTTGCAGAGGCAAAATTTCCTCCCAATGTCAACGTCCCTGTCCAAACGGCATATACCGTGCTGGAAAGTTCAACTCACGCCGTTTTCCTGCATGTTACAGTAAGTAACTCGGAAGGGGCCGAGTACGGATCGATCATCAAGAGTAATAGCAACGGAACTTCCTATGTGCTCAGCCTTGGTGCGGTGAATCGAAACTTCCGGGGATATGTTGACTTTGAGAAGATGCAAGGCATAGAAGGCGTGGCAGTTGCAAATGTTGTCAGTAACGTGAACAAGCTGTCAAATGGAGAGCCGAAAAAGTTAAGGACAATGATTACCCACAACGATGGAGGGCAATGGACCTTACTTTCTCCCCCAAGTAAGGATGCTGAGGGCAAAGACTTTGGGTGTTCTATTGAAGGAGAAGGCGTTCCTGGCTGTTCGCTCCACCTTCACGGCTATACAGAACGCAGGGATGAGCGGGACACTTTCTCGTCCAGTTCAGCAATCGGCTTGATGCTCGGAGTCGGCAATGTTGGTGACCACCTCGGTGGCGAAGACGAGGCCGATACGTTCATAACCCGGGATGCTGGCTTCACATGGAAGTCGGTCAAGAAGGGCAGGTACATCTGGGAGTTTGGTGATGCCGGTTCCTTGATTGTAATCGTGCCTGAGTCGAAGCCGACCAAAACTCTCTACTACAGTCTTGACGAGGGTGACACATGGTTAGAATTTGTCTTCTCAGACGTGGATATGCAGATCGATGATATCTCCACCGTACCATCCGACACTTCCAAGAGCTTTCTTCTCTGGGGCAAAGAGCTGAAATCAGATTACCGAGATAAGCTCGCGACAGTAAGCGTTGACTTCAGTGGGCTCCGTTCCTCTTCGTGCAAGTTGGACGAGAATAAAGCTGAGAGCCATGATTATTACCTCTGGGAACCAAAACATCCGTTCCAGGACGATAATTGCCTGTTTGGCCATGTTGAGCAGTATCATCGGAAGAAACCGTCAGCTCAATGTTGGAACGACTGGCGTGAGCCTCATGTTCACAGCATCGGAGATAACTGCGCCTGCACGAGGGCTGACTTTGAATGGTAAGTAGTCTTCGTCAACCGCCCCCCTCCCCTTAATTTTCATTGGCGCTACTTCTTACCTATAAATGGTGCATTTGCTGATTCGGAGGCAGTGACTACAACTACGAGCCCCAGAGTGATGGCAGCTGTGCTCTTGTTCAAGGACTCGCTCCTCCTGATACCATGGCTGTATGCAGAGAAGACCCTGACGCATATCAATACTGGGAACCCTCAGGATATCGGCGTCTCCCTCAATCAACGTGTCAGGGTGGACGTGAAATGGACCATATTGTTTCCAAGCCTTGCCCCAACAGAGAGGAAGAGTACAAGAAGAAACATGGGATTAGCGGTGTTGGTCTTTTCTTCGCGATCGTCATCCCTATTGCTGTAGCAAGCGCTGTCGGTTATTATGGCTATACTAGGTGGGACGGCAAGTTTGGCCAGATTCGGCTCGGGGAGAATGTTGGTACCTCCCAGGGTCTGCTTTCGCGAGATTCTCTTCTCATCACCGTTCCGGTTGCCATAATTGCGGGTGCGGTGGCCGTCATCAAGGCGCTCCCACTGCTAGCTACAAGTCTCTGGCGAAGCGCGAGTGGATATGTGCGCCTAGGACGCAACCGGGGTTACTCAAGGCCTTATGCGTCTCGCGGATCATTTGCCGCCAGGCGCGGCGACTATACTGGTGTTGTTGACGACGAGGATGAGCTTCTTGGTGTGGAAGATCTCGAAGCGGATGAAGAGGAAGAGCTGTAATACGTTGGCTCGTCCTGACACCTGTCCGTCAACCGTGTCGGGCCCATGAGGTTATGTTTTATTATGAGAACGTCATGTATTGAAATGTGTCTCTATGTACGCGTTTTTCGCGTCCCCCGTCTTTATTTTTCTTGTTCTAATCGCCTATATAATGTGCGTGTCATAGAGGTGAAGTAGAATCAGTGCTAATGGGTATCTTGCAATAATCTGGAGTTTACGAATTCATACCAATTCGGGAACTACCCAAACAACTCCAGCCATAACGTTTTAGACGTAGCAGTAACATGATAATCTACGGAGACAGTTTGATCCCATAAAGCCGTGCAGGGGGTTTGGAAAACTGCATGTCACGGTACAAACTGAGACATCGACTCCTCAGAGAAGAGAAGTAAGAGTCTAATATGAACATTCTTGCTTGCCCTCATATGAGGTGCTTATAACGACGACTCAATTAGAAGGCGATGTATATAATAGAAGCCTGGATAGCCCCTTCGATTCATATGAGCATATTATTTTACCTTGTCCTACGCGTACGTTTGCTTGAAAAGAGCAGCACCGTAAATTTTGGATGCTCAATCATAATATAAGGAGAGCGTAGCTCAGCATCATAATCATCATCTGTCTCTCCCAGGAACCAACTACCCTGGGTACTTCAACCACCAACCACAAACACCCTTTCCCGCGGTGACTTCCAACGAATGCACCGACTACAGCAGCACCAACAGGCAACAGCAGCAACAACAGCAACCAAAACCTTGAAAGAAAGAATCACCCACCCGCTTACACATGCCAATCATCCTGCTTTACTCCACAATAGCAACCAATGAGTAATCAAGCAAATCGAATATAATGACATACTTCAATGCTCAATGAGTGAAATCACTCGGGCCGAACGAGTTCGGCAGGAGCTGCAATGCGAGCAAAACCAGTTGTCAGCCACTGATTCAGAACAGAATGGATGGATTGGTCAGATATATTACCTCTCCCATTGTAGTAAGAGTATAATTACCCTCACCATCATACATAAAAATGGGGAATTCGGGGGTGGTAAATTCACTCATACTGAGAGACACGAATCATTATTAGTTAGCAAGTAAGTACGTACGTACGTGATTTGGTTTGTTGTTGTCGCATTATTGTGATGAGGGAATTATAGAACTCCCCGGGTAGCCAATCATGTTAATTTGCTTGCCTTCTTTTTCGCGCAAGCTATTTGCGGGTACAGCACAGGGATGGAAAAACCAGGGCCAGGGGATAGAGAGACAGAGAGAGACAAGAGAGGGTACGTACAACTGTCTACACATGCCGCATGGCGAAGCGGGAGGTTTGATGTCACTCGCGACAGCAATGGCTTTGAAGTTGCGATGCCCGGCCACCTGCAAAGCAGTCCGACGAAGTAAGCAAAAATGCATGAGTGATTTTCTTCAGTTCATTTTCGACATGTGCAAGGTACAGCAAGTAGGCACGGAGATAAAATAGTAAAAAAAAAAGAGGTGTAGAGTTGACAGCTTACAATGGCATTTCCAAAGGCTACTCGCTCCGCACAAGTTCCAACGGGATAAGAGGCATTTTCAACATTGGCGCCTTGGACGAATTCACCCGACTCGGTCAGAATGCATGCGCCAACACGGAACTTTGAGTAGGGGCCTGTTGGTGTCGCATTAGTTAATTCTAGATATATGCCATGGCGGCTTTTGGGTTTAGGGGGAAGACAGGTGGACTTACAGTATGCGGTGTCCTTGGCGGCGATGGCCTTGGTGGAGAGCGTTTCGAGCTCTTGGGCAGAGAGGTGGTCGGCAGCGTGGACCATGTTTTCTCCTTGTCTAGCTGGATGGCTGGATGGGTCTATTCCCAAGAATGAAAAGTCAAATGAAGTTGACAGGTAGCGGGTAGATAGATATACGGATGAATGTAGTAGTAGTAAGTTAGTAGTAGTTACTGCGCGGGGAAGTGGTCATCTGGACCGGAAAAAACGCCCGTTGTGGTTGTTGTTCATGTTTCCACAACCCCTCTCTTATCGCAAGGATTGACTTGTCTCAGGGTGACTCACGATAATGTTGATAACACGGATAACCAAGAATTATCTATATCAAATCTTCAATTTTTATCTAATCTAGGTGCTTTTCTGTAACCTCGGCTGCCTGTGTTTAAAGGTTGTATCGACTCCCACCCGATATTATCCATGATGTCATCACTAAAGTAATCGCCAATTGCCTTTTCGGGTTCCCCGCACACACGTCTATATCAACAATAAAATAAAGAAAAAAAATCCAACAAGATGAAAATATATAAGATTCATAAGCATGAAAAAATAATGGACATCAAACAAAAAGAAAATTGTAAATAGATCAACACTCCATTTTTCTTCTTCGCACCAATACCAGATTGATGGTCTCAAAAGAAGATGTTGGAATCTAACTCGGAACATGACTGTAGGTATCATACGAAAGCGCCTCAACCGGAAAGTGTATAAACAAGAAGCATCCGACGAACGTCGGGGGGAAGGAAAGGAAGAATCGGGATGCGAGAGAGTAAAAAAATATAGGGCAAGAGCTGGAGAAGAAAAGAGAATGTGGGGTAGAAGGAAGCTGAGAATCAGGCAAAATGATTCCGTAGTCCCTCATAGACGGTGAAGATGAAGGCGGAGCTGGGGGCAGATCGAGCACAGGTGATGCCACAGCCTCGGTACAGAGCCCTTAGTCCTTGCTGTCTCCACAAGGCTTTTGCAACTCCCCAGAATGTCTGTCGTTTGCCGTTGTATGCTCCTCGCGTAACATCCTCTGTTTGCATGCGCGATTTGATCGTATCGGCAGGATAGAAGAGAAAATTGTAGCTGACGCCTGCTGCAGCACCTGCAATCATCTTCTGGTAGATAGGAATGGAATCAGAGGATGTTCCATCTTCCTTGAGCTCTGCAGATGGGGCACGGTATGCGCGGAACAGTGCAGATACCCCCTCATAGCTACCAAACCATGCAGCGCCGCCACCAGTCTCGCGAATAAGTGTTCCCAACTGTCCGCGCCAAAAGCCAAGAAGGCCGTCTTGACGGAAGACAGTGGCTATCAGAGTCAATGGTCCAGGGGGGGTTCCGCCAGACGCCGTAACGGGAACTTGCATCTTGCACTTGATGAGCTCAACCGGGGTAAGCGCAAGGGAGGTAATAGATCCTGACGCAGCGCCGCTGAGCACCAGTGCCGAGAAAGGGAGGTCATCGGCAGGGGAGTAGACAGTGGCCTTCAATATATCCTGGATCAGACGGTAGCTGAAGAACAAGCAGCTGTTCTCAATGGCAGCACCTGCCATGGGAGCGCTAATGCCCCGGTAGAGCCCGCGTAGGCCATCTGCTTGGAAGGATTGACGGAAACAATCCAAGGGGCCTTTGTATCTGAGAGGAAGATGATCCGGTTGAGATTGGAGCCGCACTTTGACTGTATCAAAAGGGTACTCGATCACTTTGCCTGCCATTCCTGCAGCCTAGTGGGGTCAAACGTCAGTCATGTTCACGTCCACAAGGGTTGGGCACGACGGTTATGACTTACCGACCCAAACACGATATCTTTGAAGGCCTCGAGGCCCTGGTTGGGCGGAAGTGTAGGCAATTCCATTGACATATCATCATTGATTGCTATCGCATGTTCGGCGGCCGCCATCAGGGAAAAGGTGAATGAGCAGTCGAGCTCGGGTTACACGACACGACTTTGACGGGTGTGTATGCAAGGAGAGAGGCACAGTGGGGGGTAAAAGGATAGACGAGTCTTATCGAGAGAGCATTGTAGTTTCGCGAGCTGTTCGAGAGAGAGAACGGTCTAAAGGGTATTTAAAGACTTTCAGAGTGATGGGGCGGTGTGGTGACTCGACGAGGGGTTTTGCTTGGAGGTGTGCCCGAACCACGCGCGATAAATTAAGAGAGAGCGAACATCGCTTGCCAGTAAAACGGAACACGAGCCCAAAAGGCCAAGGGGGCAGGGGAAATCGGGATATGAGCGATGGGTGGGGTGGGTAGACCTCGCGGCGGTTGGCTGATTGCGGCGAGTGCTGCAACTAGTTGAGTGTGATCCGTCAGACTTCTCGCCGACAAATCCCTCAATTCCATGCCAGAACGGGGCCCGGCGCACCACTTCTGCCGAGATCCGGTTATCTGATCGGTCTAAGATAACTTTTTCCTCAAAACTCGGAGGCCCCGAAAAAAAAAGAGGGCAGCGGAGAGCTAAGAGAATTCCATCATCATCCCGTCTGGAATCTCTCTTTTCTTTTCTCTCTTCTTTCACATCCCAACACAAACCCCCCCATTTGGTCGATCGACTCGTTTGGCTCTGCCTACTCTCGGTCCGATCATGTCTTCCGCACCTTCAGCTGCTGCCCCCATTAAGGGCATGCGGAAAAATGGTATGAAATTAGCTACCCCACTTTTTTTCCCTGGCCTTCGAAAATAACTGTTGCTAATGCCTTTCGCTTCTCGGACCCGCAGGAAAAAACTGGCATGATACCAAGAAGCCGTTCCGCCCTACTTCGGGCATGACCTCCTACGCTAAGCGACTGGAAGCACGCAAGCACCATGAAGCCGTGAAGGAACACGAGAAAGAGTTGAAGGAAGAAAAGGAGGCAGAGAGACAGGTGGGATTCAGCCTATGACATGTCTTACAAAAGAGATTGTTAATCTTGCTGACAATCACCTAGGCGCATATCCAAAGAATTAAGGATCGTCGAGCCGCTAAGGAGGAGAAGGAACGTTATGAGAAGATGGCCGAGAAAATGCACCGCAAGCGAGTCGAGCGCCTGAAGCGCCGCGAAAAGCGCAACAAGTTGCTGAACTCTTGATTGCCGTCGGCTCTGGTCCTTCTTCCCTTCATTATTCTCTCCAGCTTCTTTTCTTTTTCTACTTCTTTTTATTTCGCCTTTGCTGTTGATCACTAACCCGTCTACATCTCGTTCGAGTGGTGGCCGATGTACCCCCACGCCGTAAACTTTCTGTATCATTCACCTTCACACCATGTTTCCTTTCTTGCCGGGTTTGGGAATTACGGCCGATCGATGGCTACTGTTTCATGACAAGTGGAGTTCGCTGGCGACCGTGGAGTTAGAAATCAACCTTTCAGAATAGTATATACTACAATGGATACACCGAACTATCTACATGGTTCCTGACCTATCCATGACAACACATCATAATAATGTACAGAAAGGCCACGTTACTTTACGCCTCAAAGGAAAAGCACAGACTGGTCTTTGATTTTATACATCAGAATGCTCGGATGTAGTCAAATCACAATGGAAGTATATATTCCGAGGCCTGCTGATCCCGCAAAGGATCAGGGGCCGATACCTTCGATCGGCCAGCGCATGGATCAGCGCTTGGCATCACGTTCAACCACGTTGTGTTTCACCTCTGCTCGCGAGTCGTACGACCGATGGGAAAACATCTTCAGAAACCGACCACCCAGGTTGACCAACGCGTTGAGCAGTGTTACTATCCGGGTCAGGGCGTGCTAAGGAAAGTGGAGAGGGTTCACTGACCTGGATCCTTCCTGCCCGCCATGGTTTCCCAACCGTCCAAACAGCTGTCCGCGTCTTACCCACCGGCCCATGGCTCTGGAGCCGCCGGAAGCCAGAAACCAGCACCACCACCCAGCTTGCAGCCCTCCAGTGCCACCAGCGACTATAGCGGAAGTCTCCAACTCGGCCAGAATCATCATGGTCGCGAAGTATCTCAACCTCCCGGTCTGACTGGAGAGAAGCATCACCACCAACTTCTAACCTTCGACGCTCCCCGTCCAGATCGCGTCAAGTCTAAATCCCGTTCGAAGCACAAGCACAAGCACCGTAAATCCGGCGACTTTCGGTTTCCCCGAAGAATGAACAACCTCGCCTCGTCCGCTGGTTCTCGAGGTCTTCTGCCAACATGGTCTGGTAGCAAGGAAAAGGATAACGATACCGACGATGGTTTGCTTAGACCCATAACTCAGGAGACAACCTGGTCGCGCTGGAGCTCGGATTCCAACGCAGCCTTGGGTAGTGGGAGCCGAAAGGGCAGTTTACTTGATGTCATTGACCCGAGCAACAAACTTGGTCCCATCAGGCGTCAAGAGATACGCTCGATGGAAGACCTGGAGCAAGTAAAGAGTAAGAGAAAACAAGGGGAGGAGTAAGTCGATTGTTGTCCATTCGCATTTGGGATGGTTTTGACTGGTTTGATGATAGATATTTACGGTCTGCCCTGTCAATGATCGGGACCCTTGCAACGGATATCACCCGTAGACTGGATTATACGTACTACAACCTTCTGGAGAAGATTGCCGCATTGAATTCGACCATCGCATCATTCCAGGAACTTTCTACTTCTACTTCTGCCCTTTTTGACGACTTCCAGCGGGAGACATCGGGCTTGGATAAGGAAATCCGGAAACAGATGGGGGAACTGAAAGAGTTTCAACCCCAATTAGAGAGGATTAAGACATTGGAAGATCGCATGAAGACGGGCCGACAGAGGGCTGAGGGGCTTAACAGTCGACTCGAGGCAATGCGCCATGAAATTGATCGCTGGGACAAGAAAGAACTAGAATGGCAGTCACGAGTTAATCGGCGCCTTCGGATCTTCTGGACTGTGGTGGTAGCTGGCGTGCTCGCAGTTCTTCTCGCTGTTGCGATACAAAATTGGCCGACTACGAGTCCAGACCCTTCTGGATTACCTTCGCAAGCATTGTTTCTAACAAACTCGTCGCATGCTCTACCACCAGAGAATGGCCATGAAGCAGTCTCAGATAGCCCGAGGGAAGCATGGCCACGATCTCTGCGGAATCTCCCTTCTCGTCATCATAATCGGCCCTCTGGGGGATCAGTTCCCGTCGTAGCCACGGCTACTAGAGATGATACTAATGTCAGGACTACTCATCCAGACCCACTGACAATATTTGACGAGCTATGAGCGCGCTGGATCTTTCTATTTCCGAGACTCAGGACAACTTTCAAGGCCAGCCTCGAGACTGTCGGATCTCCGTTGATCTAATATGTAAACCATAAATAATGTCATGATACCCATAGTGTCCCCCCAGCATAGCATTTTTGTACATTATGCATTCATCGGCCCGTTAACTATACCTCAGGGCGCTTCGGCCGCCTTCTTCTTCTTCTTATCCTCGATGAGCTCAATATTGGCCTCCGGGATCTCCTTCCCGTACACCTCGAGCAGCCATTCCTTAACATCCTCACTCACATCACCCTGCACGGTAATCTCCTCAGTTCCACCAGCAGACCTAGTCATCGAAGAACCAGTAGCAAACTTCTTGCCCAGGTCCTTGGCGATCTTCTTATTCTCCAACCCATATATATCCAAGCCCGTGATAACGGTCACATGTTTCCGCTTGTTCCGCTCAACCCGCTTAATCTGTACCTTGGACGCCGCCTTCCGCTCAGCATCGCGCGCCTCAGCCGCAGCAGCCTTGGCCTCCTTCTTCGCCGCATCCTTAGCTGCGCGCTCCCGAGCCGATACCGACAATGTAGCGAGGTTGGAGTTGAGGGCCTCTATACAGCACAAATAGGTCGCAAGTTAGCGACTGATCTGAAAGACCCGGGAGGTGGGCGAAAGGGGGAAAAAAAAAAATAACGAACCCTCAGAATATAACGCCTGGTACATGTCCGGATGGGCTTCCTTCAACCAGTCCTCGCATTTCTTGGCCGTGCCGCCGAATTCACAGTACTAATCGATTTCGAAATTAATGTTAGCTGGCTGCCTCACACGCCCTTTTAGGTGATATAGATAATATAATGCTGGAACGAGCAGAGCCGGGGAAGGGGGTTTATCTTCGAAGATGAAGACGGGAAGCTTGGGTTCGAGTGCATGGGGTGTGTATATGTATGCGTACCTCCGGAGGCAATGTGCAAACTATGCATAGTAGAAGATTCAGTTAGCTATTAGATCTTCTCTCTTAAAACATCACTACCAAAGCGATAGCAGAGACGGAAGAAGAGACGACTTACCTCCACAGTAAACAACATGCTTAGCCTGCGATTCAGCAGGAACCGATTGGGCAACTTCGGCCATTGTGATATATCCAGGGATATAAAAATAGACGTATAGAGGTATGAGGGGGAGAGATTCAAGATATTATGGATCGATATATCTGGACACAAAATCTCGTTCGCGCGGTATTAGGTAGGCCCCTCCCGCCGCCGCTGTCGACCGCCCTCTGAATGAGCGCGGGGTCGGGTCTGGATGTACGTATTTCCCGCTGCGTTGCAGTTTGGGTTTTGAAGCTAGGCTGTTTTGGGTAGTTACCTATCTACTCCATTATCTATCTGTCATGTGATTTATGCTATGTCCATATTGTATGAAGAAGATATGTTTGGTTTTGTTGTGGGTTATAGGACAGGTTGTATACGGGAGGATAGAATTATTGCTTGTGTTTACTTGGGAGCAGAGTTGCGTTGCGTACGTTTCGGTGTCGTGGCTACTATACTAATTGGCTGGGCTGGCGGGTTCTTGGTATGTTATGCCTCGTAGTGGAAGATTGAAGCTTGGTTATGATGCATTATTTTCTGGCTAGAATCTTTTGTTATTGTCTAATGTGATGTTTGTATGAGGACTGGACTCATTGGAATGCTTTATGGATGGTTCGGTTGGTAAGCTATTCTTAAGATATTTCAGTTCACGCGCTGTAGCAGAGGGGGGTACGTGTACGCTGATAACGTAAGTGAGTACCTCTTGGGCTTGCTTATGTTAGGCCAGTCTAGAAGCTGCAGTCAGTTGAACCTGGCATTTTTTGCATGATGTTTTGCCACACGGGTTGAAGTTGTCCATCCCGTCAACTCTATCGTGCACCAACTCGGTATGAATTGGGAACTGACAGTGGCGATCAAGAGCCGTCAAGCAAACATGCCCTCTGTCATGACGCCCGATGTTGACGCCACTGAAGTGGCTGCATGCAACCTTTGAGCAGTCGAAAACATGATAGACCTTCGAGAACGATACATTTCAGCCATCGGGCATGCGGCGTCTAATTCCAGTATACTCAAGTGTAAGAGGCAAACAATGTGTATTGGGAAGACTCGAAGGCAAAGAAAAGCATTGTTAACGCATACGCATGCAGATAACAAAGCAGGGACTAGATCTGAAGACATGCTTCATGCCTGGACGATGATTGGTGATCGAAGAGCTCCGTGAGGCCGGACTGGCCAGCATAGTTTATGCATGAGTGACTTGGCATGGCCACATTTCCGTCAATTGTTGGAATGGAAGATTAGAGTGGCTGCTTTTGCCGCGTTGCATACTGCGGGCCTGCATAGGCCAGGTCTCGAAAGGCAATTCAATCAAGCAGGTTGTGAGCGAACCGGTAGTGGCGTTTACCATTTTTTCCCGCGTCAAGCATATTGTAATATGACGAGCGTGTGATTGCAGACACCACCTCACGTATCATTCCATCATGTCAGCTTAAGATAATGAACTGAAGGAGAGAGGAGCAGAGAAGCAATGTATGCCAAACCGAAACAAAAGGTATGGCGTATTAGTGCCCTGGTGAGAAGCAGTGTCGAAGGCTGACCGGCGTGACAGTCGCCATACAGTGCGCCATAGCTATGGTGCTCGTACACCAAGCGAATGCTAGCGGGCACGAAATTTACTTGCCTGATACTAAGACTAATGCTCTGTTGCTCCTCGTTCTAGACCACCGAGATGCCGCAGAGATTTAGAATCTAAACCTAACAGTCGCTAGCGTATTTGGTTATCCAGCAGGATGGCAATCCGCGCGAGCAAAGTCACTTCGTCCGTAGCTAGACACTGTCTCTCCGACTTAGCGAAAAACTAGTGAGGTTTGCGCAGGGCCAGA